GCTCAGGTCTGGTTTTTATAGAGCTGGGTTTCTCCATGCAGGTGCAGATTGCATCTCTTTGTTCTCCAGGGTCCGCCGTGGGCTGGCATGGACTGGCACAGCTGCATTGGTTTGGAGTGTGCCTGAAGAGAAACTTTAATCTTATCTCGGGGAGGCTCTAAAAGATATAACTGAAGAGTATTTCCATCCATCTTAAGAGATGCTCAGCGTGTCTCATTATTACAAAGGTCCAAGAAAACACTCTGTAGTACACCATTTTTAGCTAAGTTATCTTTTAGAATTCTAGAGTTCAATGATACTCTAAAGTTCTAGTGTGCTCACTTTCCAGGTGGAGAAAAAGTGAGAACAAAGATGTGATAGGACTCATTTGTACGAGAATGACAGGTATGACCAAGCAAGAGCCCATGGGTCCTAGTTATTGCTGTAAAGAGGGATCAGGCCCTGCTTTGTGTCATGTGTGTGTAAAATGTGTACTTTTGTATACCAAACATTCCAGGAGCATCTTGGCTTGAAAAATGAGGACCGCATCCGCATTTTCCTATTACTACTCTTCAAAAACAAATTCATCTTTATTGTTGAAAGTATTACAGACTAGAGGCCTGGTGCACAAAATTCGTGCACAGGGGGTGTGGGGGGTGGGGGAGTGTCCCTTAGTCTGGTCTGCACCCTCTCCAATCCAGGACCCCTCAGGGGATGTCCGACTGCCGCTTTAGCCCCGCAGGGATCAATGCTAAAGCGGCAGTTGGACATCCCTCTCGCAATCCGGGACTGCTGGCTCCTAACCACTCACCTGCCTGCCTTCCTGATCACCCCTAACCACTATGCCTGCCTGCCTGATCACCCCTAACCACTTGCTGGGGAGCGGGGCCAGCCCTGCAAGGGGCCGTGGTGGTTCTGGTCTAACGGTTGTTATGGCCGTGATGCCGTTACGGTCTCTGGCCTTTTATTATATAAGATGTCCCCCCTTTGCCTCCTTGACTCCCCCTAACCCCCCTCTTTTCTTTAACTCATGCCATTCCATAAGTACTTACCCACAACCACAAAGTTCAAGTTATTTATTCAGATGAAGGTGTTGTAATATTTGTAGTTGTTTTAATTGAAACTGTTTAAACTGTGTTTCTTTTTCAAATGATTGAAAAGTCAGTGATGAGTATCTAGAGATGAAAAACTCCAAGGTAGGGAACAGATCTCAGAATCCACAGGAGAGGGACATAAATGCTAATTACACATTGACTTTAATTCCTGATTTGTCATAGCTCCTGCAGGTTGTGTCTTAGCTGTGGGCTATTCTCAGGGCCTCATTTGTATTTGAGATTTTCTTTAATATGATGCCTCCCCTATGAGCTCTTTAATCTCCTACTTATTTTCAGTTCTTTTTATCTTAGATCAGCGGTTCTCAACCTGTGGGTCTCGACCCCTTTGGCGGTCAAACGACCCTTTCACAGGGGTCGCCTAAGACCATCCTGCATATCAGATATTTACATGACGATTCATAACAGTAGCAACATCACAGTTATGAAGTAGCAATGAAAATAAGTTTATGGTTGGGTCACAACATGAGGAACTGTATTTAAAGGGCCAGAAGGTTGAGAACCACTGTTTAGATATAGGAAAGAATTAATTGGCAGGTAAATGTAGCTCTTGGTTCTTTTGGTTGTTGAAGATTAAAGACTTCTTTTTCTCTTTCTGATCTCCGTGAGGGACATCTTTGGGATGGCATGTCTTTTGGCCTTTGGATTGGAAGATGAGGTGCTCAGTGTTCATTTGTTTGTTATCATTACCCCACCATTATTACCGCTACCACTCAGTGTCCTTCCTGATGAGCAGGCATTCCTTCTGGTGGAGAGCTAATGTGACTTTGTGCAGTGTATTTGGCACTGAAGAGCTGCTCTCCCCCACTGTCTGCTGAGGAAGAGACTTGGCATTGGTAGGTACAAGGTAACCTTGAAATTCACTTAGTTTATTTATAAGCAGGGATGAATTTGTTTCCTATGGTAATAGAACTGAGGGCTTGACCTTATTAGATGGATTGAGTGAAAGGATATGTGGACCTCTTTCCCCAGCTCCACATATTTTTTGATTTCCCACCAAATGCCCCCCAATTAAACCATACATGTGCCTATGCCCTTTTAAAAATATATATATTTTTATTTATTTCAGAGAGGAAGGGAGAGGGAAAGAGAGTTAGAAACATCAATGATGAGAGAGAATCATTGATTGGCTGCCTTCTGCATGCCCCCTTACTGGGGAATCGAGCCCGTAACCCGGGCATGCGCCCTATACTGGAATCGAACCCGAGACCCTTCAGTCTGCAGGCCGACGCTCTATCCACTGAGCCAAACTAGCTATGCCCTTTTAAAATGTGGCCCTGAGTTACTTTACATTCCGTTGTGTGGGTACCCTTGAATTAGCTCTGTGCACTGCTGATTTCCTGTGTGATTTTGCCGTAACTCCGGCAGAGATCCAAGTGCACTTCTGACCCTCTGCCTGTGTCTGTAACTTTGTTGTCGGGCCTTGCCAGAGGAGAGGCAGGTGTATCAGCGTAGACAGCAGAGAGAGACCTTCCCTCTGCAGGGTTTGAGTCAGCCATGCCGCTCTGTGTGTAGACCTCCTGTTCCTTGCCCTGTCTGTGGCCTGTACTAACCCTGGTTAGCTGCACACAGGGAAACTACTGGAACCTCTTCATTGGAGGTGTAAGTTGTTCACCCTCACTCCCACCCCAGTCTGATCATGTTTCTCACACACTATACCCATCTCCTTAGCTTTAGAAAAGTTGATAAGACTGAGCAATAATTTCAGTGCAGACACCTGACTGTAGGAGTCATCCTTATATTGTCTTCTTTTCTGTGTTGCTGTATTATGACAATACTTTTTACCCTTAGCTCTTAATTGGCTTTCTCTCCGGCATGGCTCCTTGTTGCTTTTGAAACGTAACTAGATGGAGTGTTCAAGAGCGTGATCTGACAGCCGGAGTTTTGAGGCAGCTGTCCTTTTAAACATTTCATATTCATTTTAAAATGAGTTTTTGAAGAATAGACAGTTTGAAAGGATTTTAATGGTGCTCACCAGCAGCGTGGCTGAACTTGATGCGTGTGCTGTAGGCTATCTTTAACCTGATCAGTGGGAACTAAAGACATGTTTAGAAAATGGAATTCTGGACTTTCAAGGCTGTGGCTTCAGGCTGCTTGATCCAATGCGACTCTTCCGTACAGGTATGAAACTTGGCCATGACCCAAGCCAAACATATACCTTAATTATAAAACAAAACCCTGTGTGTTTGCTAAGGGATGTCACATACTTGTTTCTTTTGATACATAAACATGTTTGTCTCAAAAGGTTTCACAGAGAAAATGCATTGCTCAGTATGTCCATAATCCATATATTTAATATATACTGGGTTTAGGCAGCTTTCCTATTTTAGGCTCCTAACTTCCTAAACTGTTTGGATACATATCCTTTCTTAACTCAGAACGTAAAGGTTCTTCAAGTCCATTCTGTCCTTGTTGTTTTAAAAATTTCCCAACTCCAGCTCTGTTGGTATTGGGTGCAGTTAGCTGTGTTGTTTGGATTCACATACTGTGAAACCAGCCCCAGGCATCTTTGGGGTTGTCTTCTTGTTTGTTCTTGGTAGTTCTTCACTTGGTCCTTGAGATTTATGGCAGGCTGAAATTATGCGGAGCTTTTCTGTAGAGGCATTCCATATTTTTTAAAAACTGGTTCAGAGAAGTCTGAAGGTTGAAGAACTCCATTACCATAATATGGAGGAGTTCTGTAGGGCCGCTGCCAGCCTCTGCTCTGTCAAGTATGATATCTGTGGGGCCTTACATGTGCAGCCATTTGCCTCTTTTTTTTTTTTTTTATCAGCCACCTTTAAAAAACAAAACAAAAGCACAGCAAGTATATTTTTTAGAGCAGCTTTAGGTTCACAGCAAAATTGAGCAGAAAGTAGAGTTCCCCTCCTCCGCCCCCATGCCCCCACCCACTACTATCACAGCCCCCCACCAGAGCGGTACATTTGTTATAATTGAGGAACACGTAGCTTATGTTAGGGTTCACTCTTAGTGATGTGTTTTCTGTGGGATTGGGCAAGTGTGTAACGACATGTGTCCATCATTATAGGAGCACACAGAGTAATTTCCCTGCCGAAAAGATCCTCTGCTGCGCCTGTTCATCCCTGTCTTGTCCTCCTAGCCCCTGGCAGCAACTGATCTTTTTACTTTCTTCATAGTTTTGCCTTTTCCAGAATGTCATAGTTGCAATTAAACAGTATGCAGCTTTTTGATTGGCTTATTTCTCTTATGTATTTCCTCTGTGTCTTTTCATGGTTTGATAGCTCATTTCTTTTTAGAGCTGCATAACATTTCTTTGACTTCATGAACCACAGTTTATTTATCCATCCAGCTGCTGAAAGACATGTTGGTTGCTTCCAAGTTTTGACATTTATATATAAAGCTGCTATAAACATCTATATGTAGGTTTTTGTGTAGATATAAGTTTTCAGCTGTTGGAACGTATGGTAAAAGTATGTTTAATTTTGTATGAAACCGCCAAACTGTGTCTCAAAGTGGCTGTACTATTTTGCATTCCCACTTGCAATGAATGAGAATTCCTGTTCCACATCCTCACCAGCATAGGTGTGTAGTTGTTTTAATTTGCATTTCCCCAATGACATACAATGTGGAGCATCTTTCATATACATATTTGCCCTCTCTAAGTCTTTTTTGGTGAGATGTCCAGGTCTTTTGCCCATTTTAAAATTGGGTTGTTAATTTTCTTATAGTTGAGATTTAAGAGTTTGGGGTAACAGTGCTCTATCAGTTAAGGTTTTTTTGCAGATATTTTTGACCAGTGTGTGGCTCAGCTGTCTTTCAGTTGTTGTTATTTAAAATCTTAGATCCAGAAAATCAAACTATGAATGAGGTGAGATTTCACAGTTGTCTGGACACGAGTAGCTGTGTTGCAAGGTCCCAACCTTAACTTCCTTGATTCTTTATTTTCAGGTCAATGTGACTGTGGACTACATTAGAGCAGCCAGCCCAGCCACAGAGACGGTGCCTGCCTTTTCAGAGCGTACCTGTGCCACTGTCACCATTGGAGGAATGTGAGTGCTGCGCCAGCCATAACTAAAGAGTTATCTCTTCATTCACGTCTCCCCTTTCCTTTCACCCTGATTTGCTTTCTGTTGCTGTTAGCACAGTGATTTATGATTGTTGTGTGCCTGTGTAGCACTTTATGTTTGCAAAGTATTTTTTAATCACTCACTAGCTAATCATTTACTTCATCATTATTGTTTTTTAAGATTTATTGGGCTCTCTGTACTTGGCACTATGTAGCACACATTATTACTATTAATAATGCCATTTATTGAGTGTCAGGCCCTAGATACTATTCAAAAGACTATTCTGCATATTAGTTTAGGAAGTTCATTTATAGACACCTCCCCGTCTCCTCTGCCCCCCTCCCCCAGAAAGAAAAAACAAGACCCCACAAAAACAGAGGGAAGAAGAAGAGAGGTTAATTGGACATTTTCTTTGTGTAGATGTATGTAATCAGTAGATGACAGGGTCTTCCCCCTATACTGTGCTGGCTGTCCCCTGGTTATATTCCAAAGTCTCTTGAGAGCTTGATTGATGAATAGTCTATGGAGGGAGGTATCTGATGGGGGAAGGAGGAAGCCTGCTGGGCCTTGCTTCCACAATAAATATTAAAACAGTCAGTCCCTAGTAGCAATTCTTAAACTGCATAAAATATACCAGCGTGGTAATTGTTTCCTTCTCTATTTAACAATCTTAAGTGCTGTTTGTTACCAAACTGGTATTTTTCTTTTAAAGGGAGCATGATAGAAGGGAAGAAAAGAATAGGTTTCTCATTAAAGCAGGGATTGTCTTATTGAAAGCACAATGAAACCCGTTAGGAGAAACACCTCTACGCTCCAGCAAGCCTCTGAAAGGAAAGAGGATCTTGCAGCTAATTTGCCTTCTAGAAGCTCTCCCCCCAGACAGGAACCTTTTCCCTTCACTCGCGTCACCACATTTGGAAATAAGTATTTTTAGCCACAGTTACCACTCCTATAACAGTCTGAGGCTTCATTTTTGCTGAGAGGAACTTAATATAGGCTTTTGATGTCATTACTTCAACACCATCACAGATATCATGCTTGCTAGAAACAGCTTCGTGACAAATTAGGTAATAATTTTGAAATGGGAGAATATAGGAAATATTGTGATCATTCTTCTATCTGTATAACTAGAAATATTTATTATCAATTCATTATCACTTCTTGGGGAGCTTGATGCAAGTTTCCCTACTATGGAGAGCTGGGAAGTTAATATTCCCTATATTAAAATTTTTACTGTCACAAATAAGGAATCCTTTCAGTAGTTAACTGCTCCTCATACTTACTGGTAAAAACAACATCACTACTGTAAAAATTCACATCTTTATTTTTGGTAGATGGCTTTCTCTCCTGTTCACCTAACAATCTTTTTGAGTGGATTTTTTTTTTCCATTTAGTTACCACAGGTATATTTTTAAAGTAAATTTACACTGCTTAAAATTAGATATTCTGGGAGTGTTCTATAAGGATGCTTTTTTTCCTTTTGGTTTCTTTTTCTTTTTTTTTTTTTTCTGGGAGTGTTCTATAAGGATGATTTGAGACAACTGGTTTAAAATTTTTCCAGAGTAGGGTGTTCTGGCCATGCCCATGCTATGAGACCTTGAGGTTTCAACTGCATTGATCTTGGCTTTGACCAAGATTACTCCTTCAGGCTAGCCTCTTTCTGCAGAGGTTGGGTAACTAGCTCCAGCCAATGCTCTTGGTAAGAAGACACCAACCTTTTTATCAGTTTGGTCAGTTAACATCACAGTTGATTAGTTGTAATTGACAACATCATGTATCTGCACTTCAGGTTCCTGCCAAGAATGGTAACCTTGGCCTTCTACTTCGTGGTTCTTGCAGTTATAAGAAATAATGTATATTTTTAATGATTTACCTTGAATTAGACCAGCCTGGCAGGGTACCCAAGAAGCATAGAGTTCCCTCTTAGGTTTGTTTATACTAAACTAGACTTTGGAGTAAACTACTCAGCTAAATTTGGGAGAAATACAAAATTTAGTGATATTGTTGAGACCAGCCCTCACTAGACATTAAGCTCCTTGAACATAGTAATTTTCATCTTTTTTATTCCTTGTAGTCTCAGTATTCAGTGTAAGGTAGGAGTTCAATAAATTTGTGAATGATTTGTGTACTGAATTGCAAAGTGTTCCTTTATGAAGCATAGCAGGGAGTACTTAGATGTTTTTTTTCTTTTTTTGAGTTAACAGGTTTGTTTCTGTCTGATCAATATTGAAAAACTTGTTCTGATAGTTTTCCTCTTTTGTTTGATTATTGGAAGCTCAGTGCCAAAGATCGTACATGTCTAGAAAGTGTACCTGGAAGCATGCCTCTCTATTCCACTCTTACTCATAGCTTCTCTTTCCTTTCCCTTTGCCTTGATTTTGTTTTTATTTACCTTTTTTTCTTGATTTTTCTATACTTAAACAATTCCTAATAGTGTAGAAAAGTGAGGTAGTATATTTAATAAAAATGTCCAAATACTTGGCTTATATTCAGAATTAAGGTATACTAAAAGCATTCCACCTGACTTTAATGTTATTTAAAGACATTGGCTAGAGAAGGGGATTTAATATTTTTATTTCAAATGTTTTAATTTAATTTTAAACACAGAAATAGACTTGTATTTACAAATCTTGGGTGTATGGCAGCATGATCTACTGTGATATTCTGGTGAACTGCATAACTTCCTCTTTGGAGTGAGGACTTAAAAACACTGATCATGGAACCCTAGATTTTTGTGACATATGCCTTCCCCTTCTGTTATAGTTGGCCAGCTCATATTTATTTTGTAGCCATTTTTTCTTATTAAACCTTTTTAAAGTATTCATCTGTTTTTATAGACATCCTTTTTGTATTTATATTAATTATTAATGTAGAATTAATAAATGACATAATTAAAATAACAAGCACAACTAGTATACATAAATTTGGAGACAGAAACAAATGACACAACAGACTGGAACAGAAGTGCACGGGTGTGCTAGAGTGGCCCTCAATCACTCTAATGTCATCAGCCAATAGATTGAGTGAGTTATAGAAAGTCCAGGTCAGTTAAGGGAAGTTTAGTTAGAAGAGCTTTTGTAGTAATGCATTGCCTCTTTCAAAGACAGGCTTTGTCCAAGCTTGTAGAAATGCTGTAGAATTAAGAAGCAAGCCAATCTAAATTATGTCTGTCATCATCTGTTGGCTTACCCACCTACATATAGGCCTTTGTAGATCTAGTGGCTTTCCTGTTATTTGAGAGATCAGCTGGGATTGTCTGGCTCTGGAAGAGCTTCCCTCAAGCTGCTGATTCCAGGGCAGAGGTCCTCAAACTTTTTAAACAGGGGGCCAGTTCACTGTCCCTCAGACATTCCACACATGCGCACTGCGGGCCCGGGGACGAGTCGGATGCTAAGCAGGATAGGCAGCGGCGGCAAAAACACCCGGCGGGCCGGATAAATGTTTTCGGCGGGCCGCATGTGGCCCGCGGGCCATAGTTTGAGGACCCCTGTTCCAGGGGAATGAGAAAGACAAGCAGCTGAGATGGAGACTCTTAACAGGTTATTTCAAAGCAGATCTTTAAATGTATTTCAGATGCCCAAGTGTGTGAATTGCCTATATCAGTGGTCGGCAAACCCTTTAGTCAACAGAGCCAAATATCAACAGTACGATTGAAATTTCTTTTGAGAGCCAATTTTTTTAAACTTAAACTATATAGGTAGGTACATTGTTATTAACTTAATTAGGGTACTCCTAAGGCTTAGGAAGAGCCACACTCAAGGGGCCAAAGAGCCGCATGTGGCTCTCGAGACGCAGTTTGCCAGCCACAGGCCTATATCCTCCATAGGGTTCAGTCTGATCATTCTGTTTTTCCTCTTGATGTTTGGAAGGGAGTCTGGTGTGACATAGTCTTCAACTCCCCATCTCTTGCCCTCTGGGGAATCAATGAAAATGAGGTTCATCATTCCTCTACTAGATTAAATTTTTTAAAATAACTTCACTGTGGAGTTGGCAAGAGTTGTTATTTGCTAATCAAAGCAGTTTAAGTAAAAAAGTAAAAAGATCAAACTTTGAGTTGTTCCTCATTCTTTGGCTCCCAGGTTGGGAATTAGCTGATCCTATTATGCCGTTTGTGACGTGAAGCTGTCAAGATGGCACTTCCTGTTAATTACTTTTTATTGTATTTAAGACACTTAAATAACTCTTCTTGTGATTTAGTCTTCCATGTAATTAGCTCCAGTGATTAAAATCTCATTCTTTCGTTATTGCCAGAGCCTTTTTGAAGAGTGAGATTTTTCTGGGGTGACCTTTACTTGTGCTGGACTTCTCAATTACTTTGAGCTCCAATTTTGCAAACCTATGTAATCCGTTAACTGGTTGCTCATGTCTTACTGCATATCACATTTGCAAAGAAAAGTGTTGAAAGAAAATTTGTTCACATATATAAAGGGGCACCTTAACTTAGGGTCAAGCCTCACACATACACACTTATAATTAACACCACCCCAAAACCCTATTCCTGGAAAATTGTCACACACCCAGTAGATATAGTGTCACTAAGGTATTTCCCCAATGCTTTCCGTTATGTGAAGCATTCCACAATAGTAGGAGATAATAGACATGGCCCATTTTCGGAAAGTGAATGCCGGAGATGGAACTATGGAGTAGGCACAATTAGGAAATGCCCATTTACTGCACTAGGTCACTTTTTTGGGGAGGTGATTTGTTTTTTGTAACAGTGCTACTGGAAACATTATTTCAATCTGCTGGTCCCCTGCATTGCCCATCTCTGCTTCCCCTTCCCCCCACTCCCCATTATCCATGAAAAGCCACTGATTGCAGTTCCCCTTGATGCTGCTTGTAGTTTGGGGCCTTGCTAGCAGAGATGGTGTCAAAGCTCTACTGGGCTTGGACATCTTAGTTCCCTCTTTGTTTAAGGATTGTCTTCCAGCAGACTCAAAGCCATCTTTATGAACTTCCTTTGTGTCTCTTTGGGTTCTTCA